AGGAGTTTTTGCTTTGACGACGGGAACGAGAACAACGGGGCAAACTATATGACACCGAATGAAAATACTCTGAAAACTAGGGCGCAGTAACTAAATCAAACTTTCACCTATATCGATACTATAGTGACATATTTACAATCTWTGATACATTTTTRAATCAGACACGTGKTTGTCCCTGTAGTCGTCGTGATAACTAARRGTCCTTACTACTAGYACCCTAACGCGTTTCATGAGCAACTAATATTAATGATTTCTATTTAAACCATAGTGTCTTAGTGTTTAGTGGTCTTGTAATTACATCTACGTACTAATGCTGCCGCCATCTTGAATTATGATTTCCGATTTCATTCATTCAGATATATTGTGTCACTTTAAAGTTTAATGAATTGAATGATTTAGTATAATCAACCCTGAATAGATAATTAAATTTACATTCAAAATGTCCTTTTTCATACTTAATTTCTTACCAAAAATAATCGAATTCAAGATGGCAGCTGTGTGAATCGTCTCCAYCATTAACATTCTTTTTACTTATAGTAAATTAAACTTTTTAATAGTAAATTAAAAATTAAATTGAACTTAGTAATTTAAACTTCGTAAATTAAACTTCGTTTCAGTTGGAAAAGATGAAAAATGCGATGTGGTGCCTTCGATCTGACTATTTCTAAAACTTGTGACGAGGTTTTCCTGAAACAAAACTAAATTTTCCTGCACTCATACCAAAGAGAGATATGAATGTCTTCGACTCTCTCTTGGACTTTYTGGGCAGCTTAGTACTTCTCCCTTGGAATAGAAGAGAATAAACCTTTCGTACTCTGGATAACTGTAGTTCTTTAACAGATGACAAAGAAAAGCAAGGTCGCCGTRACCGCAACATTTATGAACWTYTATCTGAAATWTACGTWGAAWTTTTAATYGCATAAAARKAATATAAAATTGGGAATAAAMAGTAGCAWKTCCAGCAGCAARAAGAAGAAATATAAAAATAWATGACGTGAACTCAAAGTAAAATGCCATATGCCTAGAGCACACAATGTCATCATAAGCAATAGGTAATGCGGGACTGACRTCATTGTTAATATTACATTTAAACGGTGAAGTGAATGAAAGTGACAATATGAAATTTGTGAGTGCAAAAACAATACTTAAGATAACTAATGAATAAGCTCGTATAAAATACATCCACCTCATATATGTTTTATCAATTTGCAAATCGCCAAATCTCCTCACTTTATGATAAATAGTTTTGACTTTTCTTTTGAAGTCATTTTCCACGTCGTCGTTTTCATTACCGTTGGCGTTAGGCGGGTGTTCGTTATCTGCTGGACTTTCATCCGGGGATTTTAACACCTTGGAGATCTGTTCTGGTGTTCCAATAGATTCATAGCATTCTTTCACAACTTTAACAAATTGTTGCAAAGTTTGGGAACATCGAGGATTGAAGACCAGACAGAGATTGTAAACAAACAGCAAAGATGCGGCTTCAAAAAACATGAAGAATGTTTCATAAGAATGCAAGCATTCTGAGTTTAGAAATTCAGTTAGTTGAGGGTTTTTGAGGAGTTCACAAGTCTTGTTGGTTTCGCTGTCATTCGACAKGCAATTTACAGCTACACAAGACAAGGTATCTTTTGATAACTGCAGTGCAAGCGAAGTTGTTGCCTGGAACGCCATTGCCAAAAGGATACAGTGTAAAATGACMTCTCCGAAAGTAATAAGGATCTTGAGGGAAACGTCTGGTTGGAAGTGCTGTGAACTCAGATCCATTGCTCCACTGTATCCTGTAAGATTTTTAATGTTTCCTTCTTTAGTCATGCGTACTCAGAACGGGTTAGAAAGTAAAATGTTGTTCCAATTTTCACACAATCATTGTCATAAGCATGAATTGAAGCCATAATTCATGCCGTGGCTGTATAACTCCTTCAAGAGGACGATTTCATGCTAATCTATTCTAATCTACGTTCTCATGATAAACTAAGAAGTTAGGAGGTTGAATATAGTAAAAGCAGAAGTACATAACCAGGTTATGTACTTCTGGTAAAAGTTTGGACTTCAAATAACCATTCGCAATCTGTTTCCATCCCTCCACGTTAGTTTTATGAAAAAAACATTATTAATGCCGAATATACTGTAAACTATTCAGGCTATTCACGAAAAGCTGAAAAAGACATATACCCACCTTACATATAACCAAGAGCAGTGCAGCAATCTGTTATGCTTGTTATTCTTGAATCGGTTGTCCGGTACTGAGTGGCTTGGTGTGCTCTGGTTCTCGCTTTTATGTCTGTTKCTGTTGAACGCTAAAAATAATTTACCGCGTAATCGTTGACCCCGAACGCTTCTTTGTTATGCAGTAATGGTCGAGCTTACCGCTGATTGACCYAGATTATTTTATAAATTCATGATAACTGGTTATTCWCTTCGCCGATATATATAACGCTTAAAATAATTGCTGCAAATGTTTCTTTGATGTTTCTAGCCTAAAACCTCTCATTTATAAACAGATTTAAGAAATTTCTGAAATCGATGTGGCGAGATTTTCAAATGCACCCCGGCGGAAACCACAGTTTACATAGGTGCCCCTGTGGTAGGTATTTTAACTGGCAGCGGCTTTACAATGCATATTTTCACTAGGAGATGTCAAACAAACAGGGCACTGAGGAACTCGAGTAATGCTACTGGAGT